AAAAAAAAAGAATATATATATATATATATATATATATATATATATATATATATATATATATATATATATATATATATACGAAAGAGAAAAAGAGGAGAGAGTGGAGAAGGAATCAAAGGAAGGGATAGGGACGAAGCGAGAAGGAGGCGCTTTCTAGTTGACCCATGACCGGAAGTCGTACGTGCAGCCTCGAGAACTGCAAGAAATCTGTTTGCAAAGGATCCGGCCACAATCGGACAGACCAGGAGTAGAGATGGTAATTCACACAATAGGGTTTCCTAACTTCTTGAGACGCGCATCGCGGACGTCATATGTACACTTGTAACTACTATTTGTTTGGTTAACGATTTTATAGTGATAGTATATATTATATAATTCTCCGTTAACATAATTCCCCGTTATAGCATGTATCGATGTTGAGATACATATTTCCAATCGGCGTTGTTAATACATATTTCCAATGTATGTCGATCTTTAGTAGTCAAATGTTGAGGTATTTCGGTCACTACCCGGACTAATCGGATAAAGTTCTTCGGGCATCACCTGGCTGTCCTGAGTGACCGGTTATTTCGAAATCGGGCACTCGTAAGCCGAAACTTGAGGCTTTCGAGGGAGATGAAGAGGTCAATCAGCCGGTTGACTATCGACGTTAATCTCGGAACGAATATTTTCCCAGTTTACGCGGGACATAAAAATACATGAAAGAGAAAATTTATACAACACTACTCACGTCGTCCGCGGTGCTGACGTCGACGCCGCGCAGCAACAGGGTCTCGCACACTTCCACGTGACCACCTGCCGCGGCCAGCAACAGGGGCCCCCGGCCATTCTGAAACACGACAGGAATTCTGAACATCCTCGTGCGCTCGTGCCTGCAAGCGTGCTCGATAAAACACGCTAATTAAGAACCGTGCGCCGAAAACACATTCGAAAGTGAATATTTTATCGTTGTATGTGATGACCGATTCAATTTCTTCATCATCGGGAACCTAATCCTCTCTCGATACAAATGATCTCATCACGAAATCTCCGTCCCCTTTAGGATTAACTCTTTCGATTCAACTTTTCACGATATATGAGTGAATCAATTTGATACACTTTCACATTTAACACGATATCAGTTTAATTCCGCTGTATTTATGCTCGTAAATTATATTTATTGCAACTGTTCTGGAGCGTTGCTGAGGTTGCGTGTCGAATGTCATCTTCCGGCGGAGCGACGATTAATAAATCGAGCCCGGCAGCGACGGAAAAAAGTCTTGCCGGCGATTAATTTCATCGGCGCAATTAAGGCAGAAGCAACCTTAATGAGCGCGTGGATAATCGATCGGGTGGTCCATTCGTTCGTGTTTCGCGTCGCATTTGACAAATGTATATCGCGCCAGCATGCCTATCTGCATTCTTAGCTCATCCTAACCCAGGCTATCTATGCAACCGTGAGCAACACTGAGAGAGCTGTGCCGCGTGAGGGCGAATTAATTAATAGGCAAAATTAATATATCGTCGCAACAGTTCTCGCCGCTCCACGCCGTTAATAGAGCTTTCCTTCCAGCTAATGTCGCGAGCAATTACAAGAGGGAAATTTAATTTCACGATATGCATTTCATTATATTAAATAATTTATTGGCGTCCCTTTACCTCATAATATTTTATTTTTTCAGCATTTTCTAAATACGAGTGAGAAATTAAGTAAGTTTACACTCATATAGAAAATGAGTTTACATTCACATATAAGAAAATATATAAAAATAAAACGTAAGTGAAGAAGACAGTTAATCCAAACGTGATAATAAATTTTCGCTCTATTAATTGCAAAATTATTGTAACGATGTTGGAGTCAGTAATGAGAAATTTCGGATGATGCGGACACCTTGTATATACTTCTAAGAGTTTTAAGGGTTGGAGGATTATACCTCGTCGGGCAGCGGTTTAATGTCTTCGTCGAGCAAGCGTGTGACTCGAGCAACGTCGCCACGAGCAGCCGCCTCGCGCAACTTTTCTGCCATTCCAGTCGCGCATCTGCAACAAAAAACAATCATATGCCACTTAAACAGACGACATGGCAGACGACTCAAGAACAATATAATTCCAATAAGTCCAAATTCTAATATTCCTCTCACCGAGAACACACGCTAAAATGAGACTCTTCGCTAATAACACGACAAAAGGTAGAATGTTTCTTGCTTGATTTTCAGCATAAAATGCCGCACGCAGGAATTAGGCATTAAATTAATATTCTGTTACAGTCGAGTGGCCGGAACTGTCAGACTTGCACGTCTTATAAAGGGAACAAAGGTACGCAGCGCCATTGTTTTCGGAGACAATAGAGTTCTCCTTTCTTTCTCGAAAAGAAAGAAAACACACAATAACAACAAAATACGAAAACAAAGCAAAGGAAGAAAGAATAAGTCCATTGACTTTAGTCATTAACGTTAGTTGTAATAATCTCGAGAAGAAAACGATATTTGATAAATTCTATTTTGCTCTATAACTTATAAGAAACAGAACAATATTCCAAATTAACATTATTAAATTAGATTATCGAGCACTTAATGCGTTAACATTTGAAGACACAAATAAGAATTGCAAATCAATGAAAATTTTCGTTAAGAAGAAGTCGAATCAGCCTGAGGGTTCCGAGTATTGAAGTTTACGCATGTAATTTTTCATCATCCTATATCTATTTTGCCGCTTGGGTTCCTGTCGTATAATCCGTGTAACGCGCGGACAGTAAATTATCCTGGTGCCCGGTGCGGCGGTATATGATCTAGGATCCGAAGTGCGTCTGCTAATGAGGTAGACTATTACGCTCCCCTGACGGAGCGCAGCCCGTCGTCCGTTTGGAACATTAATCTCGGTCGCGATTACTTCTTTTTGGAGCCGTAACGATTCCAGAAATAACGCCATGCCGACGCTGGAGGAACGAAAGTACCCGGCGGAGTGGATTTACGAGCAGCTGAACTCGCGAATGTACCACCGAGGTGTGAATTAATACGTAACTTAAGGAAAAAGTACGGATAATCCTCGTGATTTAAGAACAAAATGCACTTAACGCGTATGTCTCAATGACGTTTCAGAAATATCGAATTTCCGTTAACTTTTGACAATAATCCCAAAAACATTGCTCACGCTGCGTCTCAGTGTTTGTTCTTTATCCTTCGAGTCTGAACATGCAAAAACTAAAATTAGATGAGTTGAAAAGGCACTGATGATATACAATTAAGAGAATGTTTAAAAGCCTATACACAGTACTATACGTAGTAGCGTAATTAGACAAGTAAAAAACTTGCAACTTACATAGTCAAAAATATAAAATTTATTAATCAAGAGAACTATATGGATGGTTACACTAGTACACTTATGTATACACTGTTAAATATTGGAGAGTCAAATTTAAACCAATTTTTTGAGTTAAATAATATTTAGTTATTTTTAACTATGTGTGTCAAAATTTACTATTTTAACACAAAACATATGTTTAAAAAAACAATCACATCTAATCAAACCATTTAAAACAATATTAAGTCATTTTTTACTAAAACAAAGGTTACATTAACGTCCACATAATAAAAAATAAACTAAATTTTAGTCAAATTTAATACATTTCTTAAGTTAAATTATTTAACTCCATTACATTAGTTAAATTAACGACATATTTAGTAGGAGCAGTGGCGACTTATAGGAATGGTTAAAAATAACTCAAATTGAGTATAATTTGTCACTACGGATTTAACAGTGTAGGCTGCTGTTAGCTTCCCATACAGCAAAAAAGTTTGAAAAGGATTTCAGAAAGATCTCAGAAAGGTTTCAGTGTTTCTGAAATCTTTCTGAAAGCTTCTGTGCTGTATGAGTCTTAAACATTGTCTTGGTACGAGAACTCTTTAGATATATTTTGCGGCAGAACGGTTGCGCCTGGCCGCCGCTGCACCCGTTTTAAAATGGGCGCGTCTTATCCGGCCTAACGTAACCATCACGTGACGCGGTCACGCGCCATGGCAGCGAATTCGAAACGTCAGGCGGCACGCGACGACGGAACCGCGTATCGTCAAGCCCTCAAGTGCCGACGCGCGCGAGTGACTGCGGATGCACGTGCGCGAGTGCGGTTTTCGCTGTTGAAGCTAATACTCTTAGAGCAATGCTGCCCAAACTCGTTTGTAATGTCAGGCTGCATCTGTTGCGAGAAGTGGAGGAAAGAGAGTTCGGGCAGAATCAGTATTGCAGGAGTAATCTGCCGAAGATATCATGAATGCGCCCTCTCTCAGAAGAATTTCAGCCGTTGCTATAGTTGCTCTTGCTTTGAGTAAAAAATGAAGAGGGGGAAAACGTGTTCTTCCCAATCACATTGCTTCCTCTTGCCTGTGCCTCTTCTTATATGCGACAAAACCTAAACTCGCCGATAAAAGGTAACCGGTGTCGTGGCGGTTATAGAACCGGCAATTTCATCGTGTTTATTTTATCTACGGCATCGATGATAGTGCGTCTCGCGAATCATAGTGTTTCCTGTCGTGATCTCGTCGCGGTATCATTACAAGCACAGCCAGCTGTATTTCGCGTCTTTCCATCATCAGTGAGATTAGAACAACTTCACAGCAGTATGTAAACCATTAGCACTCCTGTTTTTTATGTCTTTTTAAAATTCAATATTGAAAACCTAAATGATTAAGTGTCTTGTTAGAACTTCGTTCAAGTGAAAACTATATTTAAAATGAAATAAACAAAGATTAATTAAGCGTCTGTCTGAATATTAAATAATTACAAAAATTTCTCAATCGGTTGACTATAATCACACATACATAAAGCATGAATGTCGTAAATATATTTTCTTACGATTACAGAGTAATACTGATGACTGAGGTACTTAAAATTCATGACGGTAGGAGTCTAAAAAAGTGTAGGATCTCGTAGACTATAAAGTTCTTCTAGAAAACAGCCCTGTCTGCAATATCATCGACGACAGCTTAACAAAATTGCCGTCGTAAGTGTTTCCAATCGTGGTTTCGCTGACAGCCGACCTAACGACTTAATACCACGCCAACCGTATCAAGGTCGTTGTTAATTATGATCCTGCATACGGAAAGCACATCATCGACTAGCGAGAAGGAAATTTGCGAGGGAACTTCGAAAATTGCCGGTCTCCGCCCGCCATTAATCATGCACATCCGCCATCTTGGTGAACTGAAAGGGAGAAAGGGACACATGGTTATTTCGCGTAGGTTTTGCCTCTTAAAAATTGTGACGACAGGATGTGGCATCGGCAGGATATAACAGATGGCTTCGTGGATGCACGCGAAAGACCCGAAGCGTCACACACATTTATAATTCTTTTCTTTTATTTTACTAAAAAAAAAAAAACTAAAATTCCGTTTTAGTTCTTTTATTGCTTCATTTCACTTTTGTAGATCTTAACTTTTATTTTTGCCATCTTCATCTTAAAATTAAGCTTCTGTCTTAGTATCCCTTTATTACTGCATTTTATTTTTGTAGATTTCCATTTTTATTTCTGCCAGCCATCTTCATCTTAAACTTTGCTCTTGCTGTTAAGCCGTGTGATGCGGGTTTTATACGTTCCATAAGCCGCCATCCAATCGCAATGAGTCGCCATAAATGATCGGCGCGCCATAATCTCCTCATGGTCCAACGTTTCCATCGCGCCGTATTTATCACAGCGTTCATTTTTTACAGAAGTTATGACGCTCCGTCATAAGGGGCCCGGCTATATCCCGCTGTTTTAGCGCAACCCAAGTCGAAGAAGGTTATCGATCACAATCAGTTCGTCGTCCGTGAGCAATTTATCCTTTGCGATATATCTGTTTGTGGTGCAACAAGTTATATAGGTGTATTACGCTGCAGGCAGGGATGCCCGTAGCTGCATTTTGAATCGGTTGTACTTCCTAGCAAAACGTAATGGGACAGACATTCTGTCGTCGGCAAACTCTTACGTATTTTAATTTTATTAACCGGAACGCATCAGCCGGCACGTTTTTACGAAATCGACCGAAACGACGTTGCGGTGCGTTCCGCTCCACTTCGGGCGCTACCCTAATGGTCGTGCGAATAGAATCACACTGGGTGCGCCATCGATATATCCTTCTGGCCTTAAATTCTCGGAGCTTCGGGAGAGACATGTCCGACTGCGGCGGCAATGCACAACACACACGCTTCTTATTGGAATATTTGTCACGCATCCTCTTCTTGTTTCCCGCATATCTATACATATATACATAAATTGCTCATGAGCGAGATAGCGGAGGTCATAAACAGCATCTTCGCGAAGTAGCGCATTAATCCGCTATAATTCCTTCGAACCTTGGAGAACGTGCCAACTTATGGAAAAATATATATCTCGAGAAAAAAGGGAGATAGGCTACTGAAGAAATGGATTAACTGCCGAAGCGACTGAAGTGTGAAGCCCCTTCGATCGGCCACTCGAAACACCCCGCACCCATAAATCATCCGGTCGGTATATGCCATTTGATTTACTTCGGGTAATAATCTCGTATCTCAACCGGCAGTACTTAGTATTATTTTGATACTAACTTATTAGTATCAAAGACAGACGCACGCTTACGCACCCTACCTCGTTTATCTTCGGAATGTGTTACCTTGCATGGTCAACCACGCCCAGGAAAGGGTTGCCAACCTGCGTCTTTTGATCCTAGCAATTTCAATTTCTAGATCTCTCACGCAAGGAGAGTCCCTCTCTATTAGATGCTCATTAGATACTGAATGATTACTCGTCGATTTGATCGATTGTTCGTCGAGACGAGAGAAAACGAGAATATCAAAGATGGCGTCTATAAACAAATAATAGCACTATTACGACAAGATTATAATTCTCTATTTAACAATGTAAGTGTAATGTAATACACGTTGTGTATAATAGCTATATCGTTAAGTGGGAAATTATAATATTAATGCGATGTTACGGTTGCTTGCAGTTCACTGGCATTTGGAAGTTGCCGACGACTTCTGAAGAACAACTAATTCTTATCATTCTTATTGTTTTGGTCTTTAAATAAAATTATATTTAAAGCAATTAACTGCTCATGTTGGAGCGAATATTTATATTAATTTTGGGAGAATAATAATTTTTTTTTGGAAAGATAATGTTCGACATAACGTATTGACTAAATAGAACAAATCTTTCCAGTCTTTTATGACATACACAATGTGAATCAACTCTCCTCATAAAACCTACCTTGATTGGTTATATTCAATATATGTATATACATTTTGTGTTAAAAACCAAAACAATAAGAGTGTCCAGGATTTAATACATATTCGGGTATTGGCATTTATATTTTATTATTAGCTTCAATAATTGCTATTGAGTCAAGGAGATTTACTCCAATTACGGCGCTGTTGGCCAATCCTATCGATTCAACAGCATCTCTTTTTTCGTGTGCGTCAACGAAGGTAATAGTTAACCGAAGGCGATCCTTGTTTTCGCGACACTCGCAATCGCATTGCGATTTTATCCACGCGTGGCCGTCCCGAGAGAAACGGGCGACACAAAGGCAGAGTCCGGGTTTTGCGGCGCGCGCCCTAACCCAGGGAATACCCGGCAATTATCTACTCAGTCGTCTCGCTGCCTTCGACCAAACCGCTCGTCCGCCCCTTCTCGCGCATTCCTGTGCATTCCGGCCATTATCCAGCCTCGCATTGCGAGAAACGACCCTACGTCGTAATGACGGCGCGAGCCGAGAAATCCACTTCATTCGAGGATTAAACGTAGAAATTATACCCAACCGCGCCGCCCTCATCACGAGGTGTCTGAACGTCGCGACCAGAAAGAAAACCAGATTAGGGCCAAGATTATCGGTCGTCATGGGTGAACTGTTATCAAAATAATTTTCTATTCTAAGAGTCCGAATAAATCAATCGCAAATTTGATGAATAAAGCTTGAAGTGATATTCAGACGGTCAATTGTGTGCAGCAGACAATTCAAAAAGATTGGTTTTTTAAGAGTAATTTGAATTTGGATTTAAATTGATAAACTTTGTTAGATTTAGATTTAATTTAGATCTAGGTTTGAGCTCTGTTCCAACATGTGAGCTCTGTTCCAACGTTTAAGCAGAGTATAAAAAGTTGAAGTCTACGTTCAAGCTACATTATTGAGAAATTGGCTCTAAATCTAACTTCACACTTTCGCAACTGAAGCAAACTCGTTCAAATAGAGAGAGAGTTAGAAACGTCCAAGGATAGAAAGCGATCGCTGACGCTTCCGTCGACATCAGCCGGCATTTATATTACTTTTTCGAACTCGGACGGATACGATTGCATAATTTACTCGTGGCGCACGGTGTTGTCGAGCAAGTAGCGCGGCGCCGTCGCCACGTGTGAACGTACACATGTACCACCACGTGCGCACGCGAACGAATACTCGCGCGTGTAACTCGCGCGAAACCGGTATTTGCGCCTTCCACGTAAACCTTTCGGGATGTACAGGACGCTCCAACGGACTGTATAACCTAGATCAATTACAAAGTCCCAGCGCATATTGTTGATAAATTAAATATACCCATAAACTTCGCAACTGCGTTCAATTGGGAATAATTAAAAAGATAATACAGGTCTTTCTGCAAATTACGAAATTCATAGGCGTTGAATGCTAACGAATCTTTGTTCTTCGTTCCATATTGAATGAAATTTTTTAGTAGAAATTTTGGCCGTACTTTTAACCTACCTGAACTGACATTTGTATATTCTGAAGAATTGGTGTATATTTAATACATGAAAAATAAAATCCTACCAAGAATCTCTAAATAACAAGAAACGTAGAAAATATCACTGATAGATTCTAAAGAGGACTTGTGGACAAAGGTTTAGTAGATTACTAGAGATGTGCGAACTCGAATCGAATCGAATAAAGTGAAATTCGATTTGATTCAAATTCGAATCCCTATGATTCGAGTCCGAATAATTTGAAAATTTCGAATCGAAAAGATTCGAATATGGATCGCGCACATTAGCATTAACGAAGTACTATTAAAGACATCCAGCCTTACGGGAATTAGCATGACTTGAAAAGTTTGCTGTACATTAAGATTTTCTTCAAAAATATTATAAGAAGATAATGGCTTCTAGATAAACTCTTATCGACAACTGTCGGATTGATATATGACGTTGCGCAGTTTTCAAGGCTGAAACTGAAATATATTATATATTTCTTACCTTAAAATGAATTGATGATCATATGATGAACATATGATCAATGTTATCTCTCTCATACTGAAGTCATTATTTTCATGTTGAATTCAATGATTATATTAAGCAAAAATTCTTTCAACGATTCGATTCTATTTTATTCGATTCGATTCGATATAAAAATCTTTGATTCGCACATCTCTATAGATTACCCTCGTAAAAATTGTGGACAGAAACGGATAGAATCTACTGCTAAATGCAGATTTTCTATCCGCATGTTGTACTTGAAGATAGGACGGATAGCTTACAGTTAAAAACGGATAGAAATTCTGTTCGTTTCTATCTGTTTCTGTGTGCGCAATTTTTACCAGGGAGAAAAATTTTGACAAGGATAAAAGAGCTCAAAAGAAATTGATACAGACTTCAGAAGATCAAAGTAGACGTAAAGTGGAATATTGAAGACGTTTTCAACAACAAATGTTTTGGATATGTTTGCAGCAACTTGTAGAATTAACGCTGGAAATACAATAAGTTCCTGCGATCATTATACGTTTTTGCCAACTGACTCCCCCGAGTCATGAGCACACTTACCAGCCATATACGCTTATCCAAAAGGCATCGCTGGCGAGAGTAATCCTTAATCCGTGTCGGAACGTCAGATGGACAGTTTGTCCTTCACAAAATCTACTGCCGAGCAAGAAGCACAAAGCCACACATCGCTGCCAGCTCGAAACACTCCGAACGAATTGTCGCACAGCAGAACTGGCTTTCTTGTGGATATCACGTAGTACACGAAGATCGTCGATCACCAGGTATAGCGGATCATCGTCGGTATAATGGTACTCGGCCCGATAGGATTTACTTTACGACGAAATCATCTGTCACGGTATAACGTTCAAGATAGTCAACTTTAACGTGGCACCTTAACGTTTTTCTAGGAAAATAGAGTTCGTCGCAGATTGCAACAGCTCAGCTTTCGGATGATTCTTTATCGGTTGTGTAACATTAGAAAGTAAACATGGAAGATTATAATAGTCGTGAACTAATAATAAATCTAATATATTTATTATCGAGAGATTGACAATAAAGAGAGGCCAGCCAGCGACGAACACAATAGCGTTTTTCTTCTTTCAAATAAACATTTACACGTAGATACACACGTAATGTTATCAATAGGTAAGTTTTAATACAAATGGATAATCAATGTAACATTTTGGCAACTTAAATAAACAGATTGTGCGACTGTTTACTGTTAGCGTAAACTAATACGAATAGGTGAATGTTCCGGTGGAGATTTCAATGCTGTCATGAGAACAGTCGGTCGTTTTACAACAGAAAACGCAAATATATCTGATACGTCTCGTTTGCAAGAAATTACGAGACCAATAATATGAAAGTAAGTAAGCAATTAATATAATTTGGCAATGCATAATCAAATTCAATGACTATGTTCAATTTTAGCGCAAACTAAAGCTTGAGTAGGCGACTGTCCCGGCGGAGACTTTAACGCGTAGGACAAGCTGGCCGCGTCGGCCATCCAATGTGATAGAAGAAGATGTAAATAATACATCAAGGTCCCGTTTGAAAGAAATCACGAGACCGGTAATATGAAGTAATGAGTTGGGAATAAATTAAGATTTTTACGGCTTTCAACACATACTTCGACACCTCTCACAACAATACGTCTCGAAACGATCGCTTTTTAACACTACAGCGAATTATAAAGTCAGATGATCTTCGTAAAAAAATATTCGCTGAATTCGTGTAAAGTGAATTTTCGAATTCGATCCGAAAGTGATTTGCCGGATTCTGCAAAGAATTTTTCTTAAATTCTCTCGAGGAATTTTCCTCACTACTGAAGTCACTATTCGTTAATCACCTTTCCGATTATCCAAAATCAACCCTTCTCTGCCGAATTCCCATCATTCCCAGCACGAAAAGTTACAAAAATCACTCGAATTTGCCCAACGCGAAGCACACGTGTGCACACGCGGCCGCGCGACGTAATTTTCTCGTTTGCGACAACATACTCCGAATTTACGTTCGCGCTGCGTGTCGACGCGGTTACGGACTTTTCGATGTGCACTTTCGAGGACGCGTTCTTTCGACCGGAAGACTCGGAAAGGCGGCCGTACCAAGACTGGTCGCGCCGAGAGAAAGCCGCGAATCGCGAGCGAGCGGTTCTCCAGACCAGGGCAGGCGCAAGATGTCGACTCAGTGAAACTTGCACTCGCCGAAAAACGGAGTTCACCGGAGTGGCTCTGCTTGGAGAAGGCAGAAGGAGCCGACAGAAGCTGACTCAAGGTTCATACAATTCCACCGCAGGCTATGTCGTCTTGGTCGGCGTAATTTATTAGTTAATTTCTTTTAAAGTTTAAAGGAGGATGTCTTATTTAGAACACATATTTGAATATAAACAGATTCCATGTCCAAAGTATATCAAGTCATTATTTTATTTCTACGGCTTTTTACGATATTATAAATAAGTCGACATTGTATCAGCATTTTGTATAATAATTAATGTTAATGGCAATAAGTTTCAGTCAACGTCGAGTTTGTGCTATTGTTACGACGATTCGAAACAGGCGGTTTGATAAGATACATTGCAAGTTGATTTTTAATAAGAAATCTGATTTTTCGTCTAGCTCGTCTATTTACGGAAATGATGAGCTATCGTACTTAATAAGAGGCATAAGCAATTATATAGGTGAAAGGTATTGTTTACATTATATGTGATATCTAAATATCTCGTTTAAATTGAATGTGGGCAACTTACAGTTCATTAGACGGCACTGTTCCCCACTATACCTGCCGGTGCAACGTCATCCTCTTCAGGTTCCCTCGCACCCCCGCCGTTTCGCTCCGACAACCGGACTACTCCGACTACTACGAATCTGTTATGTATCAGCCAATGGCGTAACTAATGATGGCTCTTTGCTTATATATATGAAGAAATTTACTTACTATTCGATTGTGCAATTCGAATACAATTCTGTCAAATAATTCACTATTATGAACGAACAAAAATAGAAATAAAAAAATTTTGATATTGAAATGAGAAATTCGTAAGTTTGCGTTAAATTTGTTATAAAGAAATAATTAGTAGAAAATCGCTATGAGGGAACGCAACCAATTTCACGGTAAACAATTACAAAGCAACGAAAGTTGCTCCAGGTAATTCGTCATGTTAAACCAAAAAAATTTTAAGTAAAAAGAAGAAAAATAATTTGGCTGACAAAAGAAAATGCTGGCTGAAAGTTCTCACAAACTTTTACAAAAATTATAAAATATCGCAATGAATAATCTATAAAAAAGGCAAAACAAAAATGGGTATGTAAATATATTCTTGCGTTTCTATATATATAGATTGTAATTACTGAATAATTTCATCTATTAATTTTAGTAAATCATAACATGATTTGACAAATATAAGATTGTATAAAATCAAAGCAACGAAAGAATGATCAAAAAATATGATCCCGCGCGATTTTCAGCACATCACAACAAAACTTCTTATGTTCTTTAAAACTGATGGCATAATTTTCTGAGAGCAGATTTAAAAATATTTGCTACCGAAAATTAGAACTGCGGAAAAAACAAATTTCTTAATTCTGCTATTTTCTTTTATAAATGACACATCGGTAACACATTTATCTTTCTCATTGTATATTATTATACGAGTTATATTCTGTATTTTCTTTCACGAGAAGCTGGACTTAGAAGCTTGTGCATATATTTAAATTATAAACCAATCAACTGATAATGATGCAATAACGGATTCCGCCTTCTCACAAAATTCTTGGAAACTAAAACTATTTACTCTTGGAAAATAAAAAATGGACAAAGCGCAGAATATCCGCGATAGAAAGATGCGTAGAATGCGATCATCCAGTTGGGCAAATGAAGACTACATTCGTAGAACTAAACGCGCCAAAAGTATCATTGAGGACTTAGAACATCATGGACCAGCTGGTTTGATACATATTGCCGTTTTAAGTAACATAATTGGAAAATCCATCAAGATATGGAATGCTGACAGCAGTTTGAACAGTATCATTGGCAAAGAGAAGATAGGACCGTCGATAAATATTGAATACCATGCAAACGATCTAGGAGGAATAGGTCAGTTCATATCTGAAGGACTCCGAACAAAAGTGAAGCGAGTCTTCAACTTACTAGAATGTACACTTTATTAGATCTGTTCATATTCGAAGAACTTGAGCACTAATGTAACAAGTTTGAGTGAAACAAGTATACTTTCTTTCACTCTAATATATTATATTAGCGCGCATTAATTCAGAAGTTCTTTGAGAACAGTTTAAAATGCTATTTTAAAGTGCTTCTGTTTGCAGTCTAGTTTATTTATAGTGTTAAGAATTAAAAATCAAATTTATTCTACTTCGTCTCTATCTGACTAAGTCTCTTCTGGATCGTTGTTCAGGCCATTGGACTCTGATGCAAGCTAAAGACCCCGATAACACTCAAATCGACTTGAACAGTTGCCTCTTTTCGGTAATCGGTTCACAAACCGGCCTAAGTCCGTCGGAACTTCGTAGATGGACAATGTTAAGCCTTAAAGGCAACGCTCGGCAGTTGGCTGACTGGCTGGATAAGATCCTTCGATTAGAAGGAACCAACAGTGATATGGTTCTAATGATTGGCGGAGCTCGTTACTGTGGAACCTCATCTGTAGACGCTGGCGTTGTATTGGACAACTCGCAAAATGCTAAAAGCTATGACTCTAATATTTTAGGTCATCCTAGAGGTCACGTAATAGACCCAACAGCGACCGGTGCCGAAGACAGCGTAGAGCGGTATTCAATGAGCACAGGAGAACCGAAGACCGCTTTTTTGTCACAAAATGATCAGAATACGGTTGTTCATTTGGCCTTAACGACTAGCCACGCGCAATATGCTATAGAAAAGCTTAATCAAGGTTCTAAGGACGAAAGCTTAGAACTGGAGAGTACTATACTGAGATCAAACGGAAGATTTAATTTTAAAGGACAATTGTTTAAACAGGGACAACCTATCGGGCCGGAATTAAACATAAAAGAGGTAGTTTTGGTACTGAGACACCACGCACAACACTACCTTGAACGTAATGTGGATGTCTTAATCCATACATGTTATCCAAGAATTTAAGATTTTCAAATAAGAAAGATATATGCATAGGTTGGTAATCTGGAGTAATTAAGTTATTTATTTTTCTCATTTCTTTTTTAAAAATTTATAAAAATTGTAGGAAAATACAATAAAATGATACAAACTTTGCAGCAACACCATATACATGTGTTTATTCTCTCTTTTCTTGATATATCTCTGAAGATTGAAGATACAATTATTTCATTTTATACGAAGAATGTTTTTAGTTACTGAGTTTTTCTCAGTAGTTAAATATACAGGTAAATAAATAGATAATTTACATTTTGATATGTTAAAAAATAACATTTATTCTTTATCATTATTATTAATTATATTAAAACACTTTTTGTGAACCTTGTTGAAGCTCTGTTTACTCAGGAATTCTTTTATATTTTTCGCTACAGTTACTCGTTGTAGAATATTTGTGTAACGAGTGATTAACTCGTTTGTTGCGTTTCTAGGAAAATACATCTTTAATTTCGAAAGGATGCTAAATAGCAGATACTTGTAATGAGTAGTATCTTCCGTTAAACTATTTAAACTATTCAACAGATTCTCGATTATGATAATAATGGTGTTACTTTCCGTTTCACAAACGCTTGAATTGTTGATAATCCCGTACAGCCATGGTAACACACTATATCCTCGCGTGAGGAGTAAGGATGATTTCGGAATCTTCGTGGTAGAAACAATAACTTCCAAGATAAGTTTCTAAAAAGAAAAATCAAGAAACAACTTATATTTAAATCAATAATTTGGAGATCAGATATTAGTGGCAGATATTTTATATTTAATTTACTAATGCATGCATTCAATTAAAGAGACTCTCATTTCGTCTTACATCAATCGCATCGATAATTCGATACACAAAATAGCGAATTGTCTTCAATTTACCTTGCTCTTGGTATCCGAAAGTATGCAAGTGTGAAAGTCTAGCAGCATTTTAAATAATACGCATTTGAACGCCACATCTATGTCGGCCTCTTCTTTGATACCGTCTCGGATATTTTCCAAAATCCAATGCCGATGCGCTTTGTGCTCCACATGCGAACTGTGTAGCAGTTGCAACAGTTCGGGTATGGTATCGAGATCCAACGCAGGTTTGGCCATTAGGAAGGTATGCAGTGGCGAGTAAAGCGGATGCAGTGGTTGACTGGCAACTAGCGCAGTTCTGGCGAGAAAGGTGGTTACCAAACAACTCAAACGGACATCTTTTAATGGATATTTTAACGATGCGACACCATTTCGTAAAGCGTCGATCAATCGCATCCACAGCAACTTCTCCTTAGACCTTAGTGAATTAGAAAATTGGATTATCAGCTTTTAGCTACGAAGATTAGCTATGTGTTGTAATGTACTGTTTTATCAGATTATTATCGTACCTGGATGCTTCTAAGTGAAAATAGTATCTTGAGATAGTTGTGTACGCTGCCATTCGAACATCACTCGAATCACTGCAGCATGCAGCAAGCGCCAATGCTAATGCACCACTATGGTTTATTTTGTGGCATGCGACAACGTTGTTCTCTGCCAATAAGGAGCATAGCAAAGGCAAATAAAATGCCGGATCGTACACATTGCTGTTTTCATATAAGTTGTCGTTCTATAAAAAGGGAAAAAAACAAAAAAAAATTCTAATTACGGTCCACAAGAAGATAAGTAATATTTCTGGTTTAAATCAAAATTTTCTTACCTTTAATGCTCTGTGAACGGGATAATTCTTTATGGTATCGCTGACCATGTCCCCATCGAATAAGTTAAATACTTCAGAAGTGGATGGTTGCCGCCAGAGAGCAGTGTCCGTTTCTCCTTTTATGCTGTAACGTATCGCTGCGGTGTTTCCCCACAAATACGGCCAATATTGATGAATTTTTATACTTTGAGCTTCATAATGTTGAAGGATCTGTAACAATTAAATAATATTATGATTTCTATTCTTTTTATACGATAACTGGTTGTAACTATGGAATATATATGACGACTCATACCTGCAAAATACACTGATCAGTGTGGCTGAGGGTGGCATTATAGGCTGCGAGATAAACAGGTATATGAGAAACAGTCATTATCGAATAATTTTTCCGAGTCAATATTCTCAGTAAGTCGACCAAATTGCCTGTAATCAAGGAGTAGTCAAACAACGATTAAAGTCATCATTAGTCCACAAAGTAAAGAGACATTTATTGTCTTATCAATATAATATTTTATATTTTATCAGTATAGTATCTTATAAATAATAAGCAAACAACCACACAGTCGGAATATATCGCGTGAACAGACTCACCTTTAATATTAGATGACCCAAGCATGATATTAACAAACTCTGAATGGGATGTCGCCATCTCGAACAACGTTTTTGTGTATTCGTCATCAGCGTTATCTCTATACGCAATATCACAGAGGCTACTTAGAGTTTTCAATATGCTTGATCGAATCTCATCGTTCTCAGCATTCTTCAGACTCAACTTTAAGGAAAATCGAGTGAACTGTGGCCATGAATAGCTCTTGCTGAGCGAACTGAAGACGAACTCACATTTGGACTTCTTTAAACAAATTACTGCACTATCTAGTTTTTCACATAAAACTTGAAGTTTTTCTACGTTCTTTGATTCCTTTTTCAGCGTCGTGGTCATTATATACAAAAGTATTTTTATTAGATTCATCAAAGGCGTTTCTTTGACTGTTATCAGACTTTCATACCTCTTATACAAACTTTCTAACAACTGTATGAAACAGACAGATACCATGTCCAGTTTATCACCGCTCTGAGAAATATCGTCGCAAGTTTTTTCGCATAAGGTAAGTTCGAAGGTATTCTCGATCAGATAGGCAACTGCTGCAATGTTTTCTTCGATCCAACAGACAGGATTTCCCGGGTCGATTAAATATGCGGCAATATCGCTGCTGTAGCTTTCGTAAAGACTACGAAGAAAGTTGTCGTTCCATTTGTACTGCAAATTACTGCCCAATATCGGGAATATCACATCGCCTTGTTTCATTCGCTTCGGGTTATTTCCTTTAAGGAAGTATCCCACTAGTGATGGGATCAGATTGGTATTTTTGGTAATTAAAGTTGTTATTAGTTGGATTGTGGATGTAGTAATACCTTTTGCTAACAAACACACAAAAGTGGATTTGCTGAAGCTGCGAATGTTACTTGAGAAGGTAGACAAGAATGTTGCTAAAGCTTGTTCCCATTTTTCCACGTGATTAATTTTTTTAGATTTTAAATAAACTAGACACGAGCCCAATTTCGCCACAAATTTGTCGTCCAAAACGTTATACTGATCACGATACAATATCGATTCTTTGCTGCATGATATATCTAGCAATATTGGCAAAATATGCCCAAACACGGATAAATTTCGCTTATCGCTCGAAATAAATGCAGTTTCCTTTAACTTCATCAAGGCAAACAGTAAATTTACTACGTCTTGTGCTCTCAACGGCAATATTCTTAACAATTCAATGACAATATCGTAATTATTGCTGCAAGAGTCCAGAGGATTTTTCTCAATGATATTTCTCAATTGCGCTAGGAACTTGTCTGTAAATGCCGAGAAAAGAGTGTACATTTTTCTGTCGGTATATTTCTTCCGTAACTGCACAACAACTTTGCAGATTTCCATAATAGTTTCAGTGAACATGCCTTTCACTGAGTTTTTCGGTGTTTCTCCACAAAATGGAGTGAAGTAATGCAACAGAATAGGATGAGTGAAGATATGCATTGCGCTTTCTTCAAGTACTGACGGGTTTTCTAGATTCATGAATTGCGCAATGTTTAATAAAAGTATAAATACGAATTTGCATTTTTCATTCTGATTATATTGCATGACATCTCGTTGTGTCAATTGCGCCAAATAAAACGTAGTCATCTTAAGTAAAACTCTAATATCATACAAAGACAAAGAGTGCTTAATTGTAATCTCTTCGTCACCATATTTGAAGCAACATGATGAAAGGCTGCCATCGAACAGTTTAGAAAATTCGGCTATGTCAATTTCAGTATTTGCCAGTAACGTGTTACTCACTTTGTGCAGTAATCTTAAAGACGGCAGCTTGTTTTTTAAAGAAACTGGTTTGCTACTACTCAACCAACTTTGAAGGTACTTGTAGACTGGCAAATTGGACAAATCTGTTGTCATATGTATCATTAATTCCGGGACAACTTGATGGTGCAGACTGTGGACCATCACGTAAGACAAATAAGCTGAAACGGGGCTTTTTTCGTTCGCTTTTTGAAGCGCACAACATAAAAGAGGTGACACCGACGTGCAAGTTTGTATTCTGCAGAAACTAAAATCTTCCTCGTCAAACTTATCGGACGAATCATTATTTATGTTAATTTTGTCCACGTCAAGATCAACAAGTTGCCCATTAATTAAGCCTGATGTAGAAAAAGCACAAATATAGTGATCATTATTATCAAGAGATCCATTGCTGCTTCTCTTATCAAATGATTCGTCGATAATTTTTCCCGTCTTTTTAACATTAAGGTTGATCTCTTGCTCGTTCATCCGCGTTATGTACTCATCAGTTGTGGATTCAGTGATGTTTCTTGGATATTCTTCATTGAGTTTATTAATATCACTGTGAATTGTATTATTCTTTTTCGTACGCAGATTAAATTCCTCAGTTAAAGATTCTGTTGTAGAAGCTTCATTAGCTTTATTGAATAGTTCATCAATAATATCTTTTGCCTTTTTAACGTCAAAATTAGTCATTCGTTCACTTATGGCTCCTTCTGCTTGCGTTATACTGTTTATATATTTATCAGTATGTCTGACAGCACTTTTGAGAACAGACATAAACCACTTTGTCAATTCCTCGTACTCTTTAGGATCAGTTATTACTAAGAAGCCATTGATCCAAATATCTACTTGATCGTCGCAAGCTTCGAATAAACCTGTCGCGTTTAGCAACGACTTAGCAGTGTCATAACTCTCTGGTATGGCTTTCCGACGAATGAGAGATATCAGAAAGAGAAGAGCTTCTTTGAAGACCTTCTCTCCGGACGCGAAAATGGAAGCGTCCACAAACAGTAGGAATTGTATCGCCTTGACTTTCATGCCTCTTATCTTGTTAGCATTTATTTCTGCTTCGTCTTTGTCAGTTTCGAGGTTGTTCAAATTCGTCAACAGAACACTTGGTTGCATATCAGTCGAACCATCCAACAATGCCGGACACACGTCCTTATATGAGTGAAGAATGTTCAAGATAATATTGAGATGGTCTATCAATTCTGGGTTTTGAGTGCTTTCTGTGTTTTCTGGAGTTGTCACATTGGCGTCAGCTTCGAAAGCTCGCTTCCACGTTCGTAAAATTGCTTCTAAGTTGGGAACGGATTTCAGAACAAAATCGGTTATTTGACTTTGAACTGCAATAGTCTTATAAGATTCCTTTGCGGCCAGAGAAATAGCTCTTATCTGATGGACTATTGCTAAAAGAAGAGTCAAAGCTTCATGCCTAACCAAGAGACTGTCGTGATCTAATCCTGGTAAGATGGTACTTTTCATAATCGCACTTGGAACCGTTAGGAACAGTAGAGTGTTTATTAAATTGTTGGTAGTTAGTTCCATAGAGCAGGTCTTGATGCAAAGGACTGGATCGACAGATTCGATTACCTGCAAAGAAAAAGTTTAGTAAATCAAGACGAAAAATTTGAAGAACGATTATTTGCAACATACGTGCAAACGATGTCTTTAATTTACCTTCTTAACAAATCTGAGAAGACAAATCCATTTGGATGACACTCGCGGCTCAAGAAACGGTTCGATGCTGCTGTATTGTAAACGAATTAAATCCGGGCAAGCTTTCATTATTTTAACGACCAGATCTGATGGCTTTTCGTGTTCCCATGGCTTTTCCAAGTTCTGCAGAACTATATGCACTATGTGATTATGCCTATTTCGCGAACCACCCAGTGTTCGGTCGTGAAAAATAATTCCGTAACGATGTGACGTTAGCAGGGTGAGTAAAAACTCATGAACCACGTTGTTAATGACCTGAAATACAATCGGAAAAAATTAAATAAAAATTAAATAAAAATTAAATAAAATTTAATAAATAAAAATAATATAAAGATTTAAATATTTTAATAAGATAAAAACAACAAAAGTCGCTAATATCCACTTGTTAAAATTACCTCCTTATCTGCTAGAAACTCTTCACTCTTATCAAGAATATGATTTTCATTCTTGGACCGGTTATTCGGGCCTTTCCAATTGTACAGAGAAATCAGATTTAACACAACAGATGAAGAAAAGATGTGAATTTTTATCGTCTTACTGATGCTGATGTTCTCCAGCACGTATGTCCTCACAGTGGTCAAGACCAAGTTAATAATGTCTTTTGAATCATATGTGAGGTCTGGAAAGATAGAAGAGAGCAGATTGTTCTTGTCCAACAGCATTTTGATCACAGATGTGTTTCCCTCCACAAGAAAAGCAAGGACAAAATAAATGAAACATGTTCTGACGCTCTGAGAATCTGTATACTTGCTGTGTCGTACCAGACTCTCTAGTACTTGCTGCTGTAGCGACAAATGAGCAAGCAATTCTCTTGAGAGATTGCTACCCAAGGATACTACTGCTGCCAGCAACTTCAACACCACTTTGCGTTGCTTGGCATTGCTCTGAATTGAGAGCATGGAATGTATGGTGGACATGTGTGAATTCAGTAGATAACGACAAGATTCTACTGCATTGTTTTGGTGCTCAGGATAGTCAGCCAAGATTCTGTAAGTAGATAAACGCATTTCTAAATTACTTATATATTCTGATCTTATTCTATTCTTATTCTAATCTTATATATTCTTATATATTCTATCATTTCTAGAAAAGAGATATTTGGAAATTCTAAATATTGATATGCAATTGATATACAAAACTTAATTTATAACTTAATAATAAATTTATATAATAATAATAATAATAAATATATTATCTTAAAAGACATACTTCATGAGTAAAATATTCATTGCAGAGAAGATAGTGAGGATATCAGTATTTTTTCTATCAGAAGAATCCAATAGCTTCACGATTTCAAGAACACTGCCATGGGCAAGTAGATACTCTCCTGTAAGATTGCTCTCTTTATTCTCATTGCAGATTGTCACAAACTTTCTCAGAGCGTAGGAACAATTAGGAGTAGATAGCAGTTTTCTTAAGTATTCGCCGTTAAATTCGCTCTGCATTGCATTGCAAGTACTATTCTTTGCGTCATTTTCCTCGAAATCTATGTTTCTGTCCGCTATATTTTGTTTAATTTCTTTCTCGACGAAACCGTTAATCTTTGCCTTTTTCTTCGATGTTTTATCTTCATTTTGCAATTTCCGCTTACGTATTTTCTTTAATTTATGAGTCGTATCCATCGTCGTATGTTTATCCGCACGTGTGTCACACGGATGTCGCCATATTTATAGTTCACTAATAGGTGCATTTACTACACTGAGGTGCATTAAAAAATTTTTGTGGGTGCGTTCCGATATTCATCACTATAATGAAAATCTATAGTTCATGCTACGTATACTATAAATTTTTAATACAGGCGATGAATATCAGAATATCTAAAAAAATATAGTTATATATCACGTATATCTTTTCAAAAATATAGTTTATATCACGTATATCTTTTCAGCGCTGGCAGTGTAATATTTGATCTGTTCTTTTCAGCTGCACTGCTGAACTGGTGCAATAAATTAAAATGAGACAAGTATATGTTTTCTCACTCTAACTTATTGCATCAGTTCAGCAGTGCAGCTGAAAAGAACAGACCAATTAAATGTAGCTACAGAAAGTGTAAAAATAAAGAACAGACTTTTTTATCTCACTTCTCCCTTTTTTTCTATCTCTCTCATTCTCGATGTTCTCTAGCAAATGATGGCAGACAGCCAATCAGAAACAACAGATCTGTTCCTTATAGCTGCACTTTCTGAACTATTTGGTAACCTTTTTATTTCCTTCTTTCTTTTACCATGTGTCCAATATTAATTTATTTCATTCTACGTGCGGATAGTGCAATTTAATGTAGTATAAATAATAGACCTAATCTTCCTATTGGCTATTTTTCCCTATAGAAGGAAATCTCTAGAGGGAACGTTTCTATTTGATGCTAGCGCCACCTGGATATCGATCATATATCTTTTCCTTTAACGTAAACTCATGAAAAGTTTCATATTTCATGAAAATTTTCACATTTCCATTGTTCGAGAAGTTATATGATCGCTAATCTGTTTTATATAATAAAAGGATCTTGTGCACAATGTGTGTAAATATCGATGCCGCGTTGCAGAAGCAATTCAAAATGTAGCCAATCAACTTTCCGTCATGTCTCTGTCATTTCTAGAAAAGCAGGAGATTGATTGAGTTTTCTTTTTTATTGTGCGTCTTTTGAATGCTTGTACTCTATAATAAAATTTAACAAAACTACAAAATTTAAGTTAACTAACGCACTTCTTACTTATAGGATTAATAATGTGTACGATTAAATCGTGAAAAAATGGGAAAAGTTAGTATGTCACGAGATTTCGTGAGCGCTGGCGCATTGATGCATTAATGCAGCCGATCCTATATACATTTTGTGTTATATGTTTAGAGTGAATCGACGACCTACGGATACATTTTGACAACGCTAACGTCTTCGCGTTGTTCCGCATTGCGCCAGATTATGAAATCCCTAATTTTACGTAATGCGCCAAGCCGATATGTGTCGTTCTATTGACGCGACCGACCCTCATCCAAACGCTCGTAAAACAGTAATCGTCCATCCTGCTGCGTAAAAACCAATATCCACTCAGTGGCTCGCTCTATTGGAGCTCGCGATCGTCAAGGCTGTGTCTGGATAATCTAATAAGTATCGTTAATTCCTAATTGTATCGATCTTCTGCTTCGGAGTTATTTTTCAACGCTAACAACTGTAACAACTCGTTCGGTAGATTTAAATCTTGAACACCTAGATTTAGTTTCGACATTACACGATAAATATAAATATCAAAATAGAATTGAAATAAATCGACACCTTCTTGTTTTTGGTAATTAAATCTCTGATATAATTTCCGAATTCAGTATATGCTTTTAATGTTCCTCAATCTTTCTTGTTCCGAACCTGTTAAATAAATTGTTTTAAAATACTAAAATTTCATCCGCAATGTTTCCTTAAATGTTTTTATGTCTTAGCAGAACTATATTTAGAAACCGATTCCCTTCTCTCTATGGTTGCGTTCCGTTTCACACATTATGCGCGCATTTCTTACAATATACGTAACATGAACTGTAGATAAACGCACACATATGCGTGAAACGGAACGCGGCCTATGCTGATTCTTAAAGCTAGAAACACACGATGCACTATTTCATGCTTTTTTATGTGCATACGGACCGACAGTTCATTGCACAGACCTTCTCTAGAATGCATAATTGCGATTCATACAGTGAACTGAACGCTGCTGGCTAGCATGTATATAAGAATTTTTAACTAAAAAGGGATAAAATCGTGCATCATGTGATTCTAACTTTATTCCTGATGTCGATCATATATGTGATTGCACTTTTTGCGGCAAGTGCACAAGAAAGGGGCGCTGCGGTAATGTTTCACGGCCCTGCACGAGTGACTGCTCGGCCGGGTAACAGACTGCGCTGCGATCAGACGTGAGCAACATGGCGGGTGTGCTATTCGAGGATATCTTCAACGTGAAAGATATTGATCCGGAGGGCAAGAAATTTGACAGAGGTGAGTGTATGTTGTTGTTTATATTTCGACATATTTGCTCGGCTACTCGCGTCGACGATGTGCGCGCTACTTCGTCGTGAATATCATAGCGTTTACGCGAGCTACTCGCGACCTTGCCGATAGCGTCGGCGTGCACATGGCGGTCAACAGCTGAGCGCTCTTGATCTTGTGACGAGGCGATCGCGTGAGCTACGTTCGCGTTATTCGACGAAGTCGACGGTCGTCGCGATGGTTCACGTGTCGCTCCCGGGTCGATAGAACGACGTGGTCGCGCGTGTGGTGCGAATCACGTTGCTCGAGAACGTGAGCCGATTGACGAGAGCCGGCACGAATGGCGGGTGATTCGAAAATTCTCAAACGCGCACGATATCTTTGAAAAAGGCCGCGACGAGACGGTAAGGCAGTGTTCGGTTGTATATGTCAATCAAAAATTGCATGAAATCGCGTAAAATTGCGTAAATCCATGTTTCGTCCGTTGAGGGCCGAGATGGCGCGTGCGACGTTGTATCAAGCTGAGAGGCGAAAAGTATCCGTTCTTTTTTAGTTGAACATCGCACGTTGAATTTATCATGTTGAAAATTCATTGAGCTCTGCGTTTCATTAATAATCGATGAGGTTGTTTCAGCGCTCTCAATATCTAACAATGTTCCACGCGAGCCTCTTCGCAATAGCGAAGACGCAAACAATCGCTGAACATTTATTATTCTTCTCATACTCGCTTCGTCGAAAACAGATTTCGTTGGAAATTACGTTAATTTCCACTGCGACGATATCAGGAAAAGAAAACAAGCGAAGCTTCTATCGGTTCTTCGTTGTATACGCTGAATTTATGACTCATACTGTGACAATCGACTCGGGAATTTGTGTCTTTCTTCATCCCCTTGTTCTTCTACTTCCCCACCGTGGAAAAAATTTTTCGATTCGTCCGTGCGTATGTCGATGAATGTCGATATCTCCACATACTCATCGAACGATCTTGCGGCGATGCCTGCGGCTTTGTTCCACTTCACGTTTTTGCGCGCTCGTGGACCGCAAGACCGGGCTTTTTAGAGTGGCGTAGACCGGAGGCGACCATGACCGAATTCTCAGCCGGATTATTGAATCTTCGCTGTACCGCGCCCCTTCAGCCTTGTCGTATGAAGATTATCGACGTACTACTCTCTAAATTTCTTGGAATTAAATTTCACTCAAAAAATAACCGAGTGATGGCCGAGTCACTCGGAGTTATTTTTCACTAGAGTGAGTTCTGCACTCTGAATTGTCGAGTGAATATTTTCAACTCGAAATTGAAGAATGAATCTGATGCATTTTTCACCGTCAGGGGAATATATTCATTCCAATCGATTGAAACATTCGCTCATATGGAATCACTTTAATCTTGAGTGAAATATATTATTCTCTTGTAGTTTTGAGTGGCAGTATTTTTACTATCGCCTCAAGTGAAAACATTGTCACTTTTTACTCCAAAATATTTAGAGAGTATTTACAAACGCTTCTTCCAATACGTCGACAAAATGTATTGGGATTTCTGAGCACTTCCAATTCCAATCATTATCTAATTCTATTTTTAAGGAAAAAAACGATAACGACAATAATATTCTCTTGATTTTTTCATTTATCTCAATCGTAATTTTTTGCTTCTAATATTTCGGGGCTATCTATTAAAAAGCACTTTAGTATGTAGACAAGATGGTCCGTTAAATATAATATAGATTCGAGTAATCGACCGAAATATTTCAGTCTACACAAGGTTATTGCTGAAATTACAACTACAAATGCAACAAATGACGAAAATGGCGACGAATCGCTATCTCCGAGTTTGATAACCCAGATTGCTGACGACAGGTCTGATTTTCCGTAGCCCGGAGTTCTCCTCTTCCTCCTTTTCCACCCACCCACCCAACCTCTCTCTCTCTCTCTCTCTCTGTGTATGTGTGTCTCTCTCTTTGCGCGTCATCTTTCATCCCGCGTTCGATAAAATACGCTATCGTCGTACATGGCGTATATCGACCAGGGAAGCTCCTCTCCGTATGCGATTGTGGATTTCAAGTTGATAATTGGGTAATACCCGCCACCGTGCTGGTAGCTGACGAGCGAGCGAGCGTTGCGAAACGAGAGTACCATCGGGAGGGTCTCTCTCTCTCCCTTTCTCTCTCTCTCTCTCTTTCTCTGTATCTATCTATCTGTCCATCTCTCTTTCTCTTCCCCTTTCGAGAAAGAGGGATGGAACCAGGTAGCCCGTTCGCTTGCTCGCTGCGACCGGTCGATGCAGCAAGGATGCCCGCAGCAGCAGCACCGAGCAACACTCGCGTAATATGACGCGCTACGTAGCTAGCCTAGTAGGGTGGGAGGGTAGTGGGGCGCGGGGTAGGAGAATCGCTGCTGCGCGGGGAGCAGTGGAGCAGCCGGGACGTGCGAGGCGACATGCGCTGGTGGGGGTTGACACGGTCAAGGTCAGTCTCAGTTCCAAGGTCGCGGGGGGATGTCATCTCAGGAGGGAGCGCCTGGATATGCTCCTCTTTTTCTCGCTCGCTCACCCGGTCTCTCCTCCTCATTGTTTCTTTATCTCGGTCTCTCTTTCTCTCTCTCTCTCTCTCTCTCTCTCTAACCCCTCTCTCTGTATGTGTGTGTATATATATATATATATATATATATATATATATATATATATATATCCCTTTCACTCTTTCTGTTTCTTTCT